TTCGTTAACTCTAGCAGGAATTGGGAAAGGGAAAAAAAGTCTCATAGGGAATATAAACATAACTCACTAATCATTATGTACATGCTGCAATAGGAATTTTTCTTAAAGATAAAGGCTTAGATGACCATGAATAGTCACAATCCCTTTAACAGTAACAGTACTTTCAGTGCATCTCTGATGTCTTGGATTTAGTGCTGCTAACATAGCAAACATAATATTCTACTGGTATTTGAAGGCACAAACTACTTTGCTTTTAGATATATTTTAATTGTGTAGTTTTGTATGTGAAAGCACAGATTTCTGGGAGACAGGGAAGTGCTAAGCCACTAAAGGAATTTTCCAAATATAGTTTTGCTCAAAAGCCATTGTTGTTTCTTATTTGCCCCTGTGCAGATGGTACCTAGTAATTCACAGCAGTGTAGAGTCTCATCTTGTACTCGTGCCCTATGATTCTGTAATTCTTCCAGTCCTAGCATGCACGGAGCCTTGATGCCTGATATGAAGTGCCACTCTAGCTTTGCCACTGGACTAAAGGCATCCTGGGGCCTCATCTACCACCAAAAAAGGCAGGAAGAATTATGTATCCATTACAGAAGTACTTGCTGTAGTTTTTGAAAATTTGGTAGCTTTTTATATGCCAAAAATCTAAAAAAATATTAAAATATATATATATATATGCTAAAACTCCATGAGTATATCTGCACTGCAAAATGAAAATGTAATTTTGCTGTGTTTGTCATCTGGTTACATAATTAAAACACTGTGTTTTTTTCATCTTTTTGTTGCTCTTGTTACACAAGCTAGCTGAACTGACCTACCACAACTACACTAACACATATAACAGCTTTTCCTTTAGGTATAGATACACCTTTATAGGTGCTGAGCCTGACTGACTTTGTCTGACCTTATGCAGTTAGTAATTAATGGCACTGATAAAATAATATAAAAGCAGTAAAAAACAGGGAGGAATATCAATAAACCAAAATGGGGTTAATTATAACTCCTCCTTTACCTCCAGAATTCACTGAGATGAAGTTCTAGTCTTGACAAAGGCTTCTGGATATTAAGGTTTTATATACAAGTATAAATGCAGATGTTCTTATTAGTCAAGAAATTAGAAACATTTTAGAATTCTCATTGGTTCAGAAAGTCTTTGTATTGCCCAGGCCACCAGAATACTTTCCTGCTGTTTTCTCTTGAAGTGGCATACAGTCTTTACATTCTAGCAAGAAAATAACCTCAGACAAATGAAATCTTCCTATCTCATTATGAAAATAGCAGCATTACTAGAGCTTTTGGTATAAGCCTACTTATGTCCATAATGGTTAACAAACACCTTTGACATCCTGTCTCAGAAAGTACTAAGTAGTATATCACAGACAACTATCTATTTTGGAAGTATTGAATACATTTCCTACAACAGTGTGTACCAGAATAATATTTATGTTGTATAATACCCATCTTCTTTTCTTCTTAGGCCTTCATAAGATTCTTTGCTATGCCACAACTGACAAGAAAATGGGAATAACGGATTTGCTTCATGTTTTAATATATTCCAGTTACTCTACAGATGTTGTATAAATTAAAAACGTCAAAGGTCTTTGAAAAACAGAAACCAGGAGAAGGAAAAGCAACAGCTGAAATTGTGGAAGAAGATCCTTTTGCTGTTCAGATGATGTACTGGTGTCCTGAAAGCCGAATTTTCTGTGTGGCAGGAGTTTCTGCATATGTGGTGGTTTACAGGTTCAGCAAACATGAAGTAAATACTGAAATTGCAGTAAGTCTTTCAGAATTTTACTTTCTTATAAAAGAAAATAATTTCTAAGTCAAATTGCCTTGCTGTGTCTGTCCTAATATACTTGAATTAAAATTAATATCGAGCTGTATAAATGTAGGTTTAGGGATATTCCATATTAACCCTTCTGAGAGAAAACTTGATCCTACTTAAGTTAGTGACAAAAATCTAACAGACTTTTTGGGAGCCAGCTTGTCATTTTTTTCCTTCAATAGGAACAAAAAGTGCAGATTTCAGACACAGTTTGCTTTTAAGACTTTATGATACAGTAAATCTCTGTTATACTTACCTGCTCTAAAAATACTGGCTGCTGTATGTTTTTATTACATAATGTACATTGTGTACGTACATAATATGTAGTACTCCTTTTAACTCAAGTATTTAATCTCTTTCATTGAGGTTCATAGCGTTTGTACCACAAGGGGACTAAAAATTATCACTGGCTTTAACAAAATAGAAAGAAATCTTCTTTTTTATGGCTTATACTGACTTTGTTTCTCTAAAAGTGGATGTTATATGAAATGCCAGATTAATTATGGCTAGGCACTTGATAATTGCCTAAGCTTTCTGGTTTTTTTTCTGTTAAAATACTCCTTTTTCTTTCTTCATGTCTTAAGCAGTCACTTTATTTTAGGCAGAATCATACAGTTCATGTTCTTTCAACTTGCACTGCAGTCACCTTGTACTCATCATTGCTGTACGGCAAGCCTGACTTTGGTTTAAACCTTGCATTTTTGCACAGGAACTACAACCACTGATAAAAGCGTGGTTGAAAAGCATTTATAACATAAAACATTCTTTCTTAAGTCTATAAAGTTTAACAGGAGACTGCTCTTAAGGCCAAGCCAAACTGAATATGATTCCCTCTCCTTCAGGACTGCCATTCCCCGATGCTGAAGAGCAGTTTACGACTGCCGACACTGTCTTGCCAAAAAGTCTTTATTTGCATCTGCCAACTCTCAACAAATACTGGGGACTGACACAAAATTTCCCTTTCATTTTCCACCTTCCCTGATTGCAGTTCTTTTCCTTTACACGCTATTTTACTATACCTTAGAAAGTCTATACTTCTAGCCTGGCAAAAACATGTCATTTTTGGCCTGTAGCCATGTGCCATCTGGAAATGGAAATTCATAGGAAATTCATTACTTATAGCTTTCTGTTGTTTTCCTCTCATTTCTTCCCCTAGAGGCAATTGTTAAGCTAGCTGAATGTATCCTTTCAGGAAAGTTTTAAAACTAATGAACAGTAATTTCACATTACTGAACCAGTTTGTGTATAATGCAGCTAAAATGAATACATTCAGTATTCTTACATTGTTCCATAGCCAATGCACCTTTTCTTTTATTACCTATCATTTAATTTCTTTATTTTCCTGTCTTCTGCTTTTGCGGCTAAATTGCATCGCAACTATTTTCTGAAGTGTTATGTGTAATTTAAAAGTTTCTTAGATTTCATCTGTAATTAAGAAGCATTTTTAAGAGGAATTATCCTCTGAAGAGTTGCTTTAATGTTATCTAATCTTGGTGGCATAGTCATTGAGTTCCCCTGGGTTTTGTGCAGTCCTCAGATGGACCTCATCTCTTGGTTTCCACATGTTAGCTGCAGGCATGGTGGGGTTGTTTTTAATAATTATGGCAGTCTTTGCTGGAATATGTACTTGATTTTAGGTTGTCTGGCTTTGTCTGTACTGAGACTGAGCTGATCAGTCTCAGGATTTCTTCCCTGCCCAAGGTGAGCCCAAGTTCTAGCACTTAGTGTCCTCTCTTCTTTAGCAGCAAGCCTGGAGTGATCTTGAGTTCAGTCTACAAATCCCTGCATTTTAAAGACCTCATGTTGGTTTTGTTGCCCGACATCAGTCTTCTAATGTTATTGTTGTAGTAAATGCAAAGCATGGAGACTACTCAAAGACTTCCCCATGTAGCAGGGAAATCTGTTGCTTAGAGGCATTGGCTATCCCTGGGATTTCCTGAATAGAAGTATTATTTGTATCATTCCATATCAGATTCTAGAAGCAAGTAGTATGTGTAACACAAATTCCGCTTCATATCCAACCTTGGAGTCATTGCCATGCAGTTATGTAAAAAACATTACATAAGTCCTGTTATGTTTTCTCATTTGAATCTACTCCATCCTGTCTCAAAGGGATATCTAGGTATCTGTTAAGTGTGATTACTCTCTCAGTGATCAGTTTTTCTTCAGTGAAGTTGCTATTCAAAGCTCTGGGGAAGAACCAAATGGGAAAAAGTTTACACTAGTTTGAATGTAGAAAGGAGAATCAATGAGCCTCATGATGGGATCCGCCAAAAAGATCTCTATCATGTGCCAAAATAAACTAATACAACAGGTTTTTACCCCTTCCAAGGCCTAGTCAAAGCAGGACCAAAACATTTTTTAAAAAACACGGTTATGTTATTGGCCTAAATTTTTTCCTTGTCTCTGCAAACGGAAAATAACTAGAACTTAACAAAATTAATTTTACTAAAAAAAGGAAGACACAAAGGAAAAGATCCAAAGAAGAATTATGCCCTTCTAACATGGCAAGCAGAACACACTCTTCAGCAGCTAATCCAGACCTGCATGAAGATTAAGCAGCATTCTTAATTGTTTCAGTCAGCAGCAACTACTTCCAGGACATTAGATTTTTGTGAACTCAATATTTCACTCATTAGTCTTTGAAGGCAAAGGTTGTCCATAGGGTCCTTTAGCTGATTCAGGACAAAAAAAAAAAAATCTGTTGATCTTAGCAAGGAGGAAAAAAAAGTGATATTTTGAGAAACGACCCTTTCTCTTCTGATTTATCAGAATCATTTTTTTCTGAAATCTTACGCGTTTTAAAACAATGGTTGAGGAATACGAGAGCCTTCAGGGCTGATCTTTATCTCCTTTCTGGTACAGACTATGTCTCAATGAGAAATCACTAAGATGGAGTTTGTAGCGTCTGCATCTGCAGTTGCTTCTGGTCACTTCAAAGTACCAGCACCGAAATTACTATTCAGCTAGTAATCCCAAGATGTTATCCCTTAGAGAGTTGTACCTTTTTCTTTTTTAAATTCTTTTCAAAATGGGGATCTCTTTGGACAATTCATGAGATAGAAAGAATTGCCCAGTATTTACTATGATTCTTTGAGATTATTACTTACATAGATTTGAGCTCCCTCTCCAGTTTCTCCTGTGCTTTGGAGTCCTTCAGTTAAGGTTTCCTGAATTAATGGAAAGAGGCCTGGTGGATCTCCTTTTCCCTATCTAGGGAGCTCAGAAGGAAAGTCAAAGGTAACTGGTTTGAACTGTACTTTCTAGAATCTGCCAAACTCATGTTCATTCTAAGGAATATGGAACACACTGTGCTGTTATCTCTGACTTCCTGGCCCCACCTATGGACAAATGAAGTTTGTTCATCAGAACTCCCCACACTGTCAGGCTTCTTCATACTGGCTAAAACCTGTCTTGTAGAGACTATTGTAGCACTAAGGAGGCAGAGTTGATTTTCTTTTAATGAACTTGCTTAGGAAAAAGGTATCAGAGAGTAAGCAGGAATTTTTCATTACATTTATCCTGAAGGATACCTTCTTATGGCGGAATAATATTTATTTTGGGGTGGGTGATTAAATTCTCTTTTCATAAGATCTGAAAAGTTGTATTTCTGTCTTTCACTTTAAATAATAGGCTTGAATCAAAGTCAGCACTGGAAGAACACACCTATGTATTTCTCCATCAGTGTAGGGTAGATGACTAGTTGACTAGCATCTGATGTTGCTGTTACGATGCATGAACAACAAATGTCAGTATTATTTGCCTGCAAATGATAATGATAAGTCTAGGGGGCTGTGTTTTTAAAAAGGCTTGCTGATTATTATTTGAAAGTAACAGAATGTTCAGAAGCTTTCTTTATTAAATTATAACTTAGCTTTTTATTTATTTAAGTCATTAGAGGTACGACTTCAGTATGAAGTAGAAGATATCATTACTCCCGAACCGGAAATAAATCCTTCATTTCCAGATGCCTCCTCCCAGCTTCCTTCTTTAAAGAGCCTTTCAGGCAGTACCAATACTGTAGCATGTGAAGGAACGATGAAGGATAGCATCCCATGTCTTAGGTAAGTCTATGCCATTGTTCAAAGATTTATCTTTCTAAAAAGCATTCCTATCTGTTGTATTAACTATCAATCAACTGTCAAGAAAAAGAGATTAATCATATGTATGTGACACAAAACAAGAAGAAACCAGAATATTGAACAAACAAAAGAATTAAGGCAAAATGACTAACAGGATTTTAAAAGGCTAGAAGTAATCATGGGGAAGATAAACTGTTACTGCAAAGGTTTGACTGTAATTTTCCAGTGATCTAGGAGTAGATCTTCATCTCATGCCCACAAATCTGAATGGAATACAAGCACCACAGAATAAATCAATTCATTTCTGAGGAGCTTTTTGGTTTGAGTTCACAAAGAGATTTCCATAAAGCAGACATGTGCAAAGCTTTTCATCTTTACTTAGTATAGTGCTAAAATCTTTCTTTGTGAAAGAAGTATATGCGTTTTATGGTGTGTAAGGGATGGAAACTCTTTTCACACTTACGAAGCAATCTTTAACATACGCAGTTATGAAACAGTTGCACTGTGTGAAAGTGTATATATGTTTAATCTTTATAAAGAAGCAAATTGTTGTCTGCTAGAGTACACGTTGCCACTGTTTGGAGTAGATTAATATGTTCTTACTAATAAGGCAGATAAATTATGGGTTTGAATAGTTTCAAACCAGAACTCCATACAAATCTTCATAAACTGTAATTTTCCAGCAATTATAGTGCACTACTGATAACAATTGTTCTAATTTTAGTGATTTCATTATTGTTTCAGTCTAATAATTATTAAATATTTTAAAGGCTCAATTATTTCAAAAGCAGTTGAAATGAACATTGCCTGACTTTGCAGATACTTTGGGCTGTTGAGCTCCTGAAAACAGTGTTAGCATTTAAAAACAATATCATGAAATTGTTGTAAAATTAATGGTATTTTTTGGCACCCTGTTCATTTTCCCACCTCATTCAATCAGGCAGTTGAACCTCAGACCTCAGTTTAATCACTAATGTAAACTATGAAAATCAATAGAAGAGACAGAAGTTATTAAAAAAATCCCAATGTGAAGTCTATTTATGACATTGAAATCAACAAGAATGGAATCAATTATTTCAGTGGGTAAGATTTTCCTTTAAAGGATTCGTATTTGGTTTGGTCTGAGAGGGAAAGGAGTTGTTAATCTTGGGGGCAGAGAACCTGTAATGAACCAATAGGTTCTGCTGGTTAGGCTTGGAAGTTTGCTTAATTCCATGTAAACTCACATTAAGCTAGCCAGATGAGTTTTGTCCCATTTTACACAAAGTAAATGTAAACTTATTTTGACAGAGAAGTGATTTTTCAAAGTCAAATAATTACAGCACTAGAACTGCTGGCATTCTTGCTCTTAAATTTATATAAAAGTATACTGTGTACACTCAACTTTTTCAACAGGGAAAGGCATATAAATACCCATGCTTTTCCCCCAGACTAACTGAGTCCAATTCCTTGTCTGTCAGAAAACTTCTATTCTAAGCAGAATTATGATAAAATTAAAGTAGTGCTGGAAATACAGAAAACCCAGTAGACACCTGGATGATGCTGTGGACTTGATATGCAAGTCATTCAGGTGGACACCAGTACAGAATCTAAGATACAGTCATAATAACATAAAGCTGCAGCCACCTACACATGGAGGGTGAGTGCACAACTTGCGTTATATTGATAATGCACATAAAATTTTATATAAAGACTAGCTTTTAATCTCAGCTCTGTTGTGCTTATTTTCATTTCTGCATCTCAACCTTGTTATAGCAAAGAGGTGGCACTTCACACTACATAATTTTTGCTAGTCATAATTCAAAATGACTGAATGTGTTTATGTCTGTGAATAGGTACTAGGAAGAAAGTGATTGAAGAGGCTGAAGTAATGAATGCTTGGCACTTTTCTGAAATCAAAAGTAAATGTTACCAAGATAGGCAAGCAGCAGAGTGGAATAAATATTGTTCTTGCTTATTTCAGAAGATCTTATAATGAAATATGCAGCTAAAATAACATAAGGAACTGATATATTCGTGATTATGTAGATAAATATTTTTGATGTAAATAGTGTCATCAAAAAGCTGTATCCAGAATCTAAGTCTTTGTTCCCACACTTTTAGTATCAGCCCAAAATTAGGTCAGTCAAGGGCTTTGACAGTAGCTCTAAAATTATAAAGAACTCTGATTATCTCATGAAGAAAACTAAAATCTAAAACAACCAAATACAGTGTAGAATAACCAGAATGTGTCAGGTAAGTCACTGAAATATCTGCCTTCATTCTGCACGTACTCCTGCAGTTTGTTTAGGCCTATAGTGCAAGCACTTTGAAAAAAAAAAAAAAAAAAAGAAACAGTCCAAAACAAGTCAAAGAACTAAGTATCAACGTTATTGTTCAAGCAAGGTGGTAAGTGAAACCAGGGAAGTGGGTCAAACATCCTTAAAGAAGAAGGTGTCACAGGAAAATGGGAAAGACAAATTGTATCGTGAAATCTGAAACTGTTTTACTCTGGTCTTATGGTCTTTCACCAACCAGAACTTATTCTACACTTAGAGAAAATCCCTGTGAAATGACATCCATATTACCAAAGAAGATTCTCAAATTTGCAGTGAAAATTAGAGAGAGAAATGTGTTTGGTTTTTTTTGCTCAGGTAACAATAGTCTGAAATAAAACTTAGAAGGCACTTCGAGTTCTCAGTTCTTTTCAGCATGTTGTTAAAAACACATTGGAAAAGTAATATCACAATAAAAACATGTTTTAGGGGATCAGAATTAATCAGCCATTGTTAGTCTAATGGTAGTTTGTTTAGAAGAAGAAAAGAATAAACTCATTGCCTCAACAAGTTGGAACTCACCATAGCAGCGTGCTTGACTCTTGTGTTCCCCCACATCATCAGTTATCCATTAGAAAATATGGATGGAAAGTATATCTGTTCAGCTGAAAGGGCATTAGACTTATATCTTGCTTCTTTGCTCTCATTTACCTGCTTTATATTTTTTTATAACATTTTTAAGGACAGGAGCTGAAAACTGAAAATGCTGATCCACAGACATAAGAAATGGAAGGGCCCCATCACAAAGATACCCTGGAGTATAACAAATTCAGCTTCTGCTTGCTGTGAAGTTTGTTTGAAAAAAATACATCTTCACTGTGTGCAACTCCTGTGTGTAGTTTCAGTTTTCCTGGTCTCAGAATAGCCCCCTCCCTTAGCAGGCTGAGTTCACAGATGTTCATCCCTTTGTTCTCGCCACGAGTCCTCCTGGGTATTCCAGGGCTTCGTTAAGCGTATGATAGTGTCACTTCAGAAATGCACTTGGACATGTATCTTATGAACAAAGGAAAGGGCAAAGCTTTAGTGCCAGCAGAAGAGGTAAGAAAGTGCAAAACTTTGAGCAGAGATATGCTGTTAATAGAAAACACCAATATGTGTCCAGGAAATCACTGAAATACCTACATTCCTTCTGCCCATACTCCTGCAGTATTTAGGCTCGTAGTGTAAACGGTTCAAAAAGTTGCCAACCACGGTGGGTTGACCTTGGCCAGCTGGCAGGTGCCCACCCAGCCACTCTGTCACTCTCTCACCACAACAGGACAAGGTGAAGAAAATGGGTAGAGATAAAGACAGGGAAATCACTTACCAATTACTATCATAGGCAAAACACACTCAACTTCGGAAAAAGAAATTTTATTTATTGCCAATTTAAATGAAGTTGGGTGATGAGAAACACCTGTGCCCCATAGAGTGCTCAAGGACTGCAGTGGTGGGTATCTGCTCCAACATGGTCCTTCCCATATGCTTCAGGGGAATCTCTGCTCCTGTACCTGGAGCACTTCATCTCCTTGTCCTTCTCCCATCTTGGTACTTTTTCTCACATTTTTTTCCTCACTTCTTGATCCCAGGCAGCAATTTCTGCCCTTTCTTAAATATGTTTTCCCAGAGCTGCCACCAGCTTGGCTGAAGGGCTTAGCTGTGTCCTGCAATGGGTCTGTGGCAGAGGCAGCTGGAATCAGCTAGACTGAAGCTGTGTCACACGGCAGCCCCTGGATTCTCTTCACAGAGGCCACCCCTACAGTCCTCCACCTCCCACTACTGAAACCTTGCCACAGAACTTACGTACTTCTGCAGTCAGAGAGGGGAAAAGGTAGAAGTAGGTAAGGGTCATGAAGGAGAAAGGAGATGTTTATGTCTTGGAGATCCAAGTGAAGGTCTCATTCCTCATCCTGAAATACTGCATATGTTCTGCTGTAATATCCAAATCTGGGATACCCAGATATGTGATCCCATATCCTCAAGTATAACAGGTATGCTCTGACAGGGCTACGGAGTTTGAGGAGGCTGCAGGACCTGAGAAAGTTGCAGATGATGGTGAAAGGCATCACACATCTAACAATAAGCTGTTTGGCTCCTCCTTCAAAAGCCACACTGGCTGGTGCTTCACTTGCACCAGCTCCTGTCTGCTTCTTCCTCTCTTTAGTTTTGGCACAACCGCGTATTAGTTCCAACAAGCTGTCTTGTACAACCCTGATGCACAACATGCTTACTCTGGCTTGGTCAACCTGCACTTCAGGAAGTCTTATCTCACTACTGCCAGCACTGCTTTTTGGCTCCCCTAATTTCTTGGCATGCTAAAGTTGGAGTATATTGCTGCATCTGTTGTAGTCTGTTACCAATCATGGGTAACAAGGCCCCTTTTGCAAGGCATGGGAAGTGGTTCTTTCCTGTCTCTGATGAGGCAGATAAGTGCTGTTCATCTGAACTATATACACATTGTCACAATGAGATTCCCTTCCAGTCTGGGTCAAGAATGTGGTTGTTGAGTGCTTTCCTTGTGCTCTTGCAACTGCAGCAACCCTGAGCAAGGAAAGGAGGAGAGGTAGTACACACCAATGGCCTAGGGGTCTGTTCTCACAGCTGCTCCTGGACTGCCAGGAGATAGGGAGAGAAAGATGGGAAAAGCATCTCATGTGCTCAGCTGTGCTCTCATGTCTTTCCTATGACAAGATCTGAGCCCAGTGGCTGATTACTGCTCCAGATAAATGGATTTGTAAGGCCTGAATAGTATCACAGGCAAAAGAAATAGAATAGTGTCCCAAGCCACTGTTAAGGAAAAGCGTAAAGAAAGATGAGGAATGCTTTTCTCATTAAACAGTAAATAAGGGAAGGGTTTGGCAAGGTTGGTGAACCCCTTACAATAATAAAAACATGAGCAGCACAGCACAAACTATATTACTGAAATGGTGAAACAATTTGAGACAGGATACAAAGGGGAGTTATCAAAGATGTTGTGTCAGGTGCAGGTGCCCAGGTGCTGGGATGGGGACTGCAGGGCAGCTTCTGTGAGGAGAGGCTGGGGCTGCCCAGTGCCAGAGACAGCCCATTCTACCTGGCTGCAACCAACCCACTGCAGGGCATGGCTGAGCTCTGCAGCCAAGAGGGTGGCACCTCTGGAGAAACAAAGTTAAGAAATGTCACCAAATGCTCCATGGCAACTGTTGGAGAGAGGGACAAGGAAAATGTATTAGCCCTATAGGCACCAAGGTAAGAGAACGGGGAGGGGAAGGAGTTGTCCAGGCACCAAAGCAGATATTCCCCTGCAGCCTGTGGAGGAGACCGTGGTGATGCACGTTGTCCTCCTGCAGCCCATGGAAAGCCCATGTCACAAAAGGCTGAGGAGCAAAAGGTTGCAGGAGCTGCAACCCATAGGGAGAAGCCCACTTGGGAGCAGGTGTTCTGGCAGAAATCGTGGCCCATGAGGGACCAATACTGGAGCAGTCTGTTCCTGAAGGACTGTACCCCTTGGGAGGGACCCCACACTGGAGCAGAGAAAAATCATCAGGAAGGAGTGACAGATGCAGAGAGTTATCAACTGACCACAACCACTGTTGCCCTTTCCCATTGTGCTGCTTGGGGTGGGGAAGGAGGTAAAAGAGTCAAGAGTGGAATTGAGCCTGGAAAGAGGGGAGGGGTGGAGTGAGAGGATGTTTTTAGTTTTGTCTTTTCGAAGAATTTTTCACTCTCCTACTCTATTTTTAATTGGCAATGTTTTTTTTTTTTTTCCCAACTTGTGTCTATTTTGTCTGTGACAGCAATATGCAAGCCAACTCCCTGTCCTATCTCAATCCATGGGCTTTTTCATGTTATTTTATTCCTCTGTCCTGTTGAGGAAGGGGAGTGAGAGAGAAGCTGGATGGGTGTCTGGCAGCCAACCAAGGTTAACCCACCACAGATATTAAGATCTTATTAATTAATAAATTACTACCTACAGTATGAATGTATGAATGAGTAACATGAATACCTCAAAGTATTGCTATTATTGTGCAATATCTTCTTTCAGTGTATCGTCATGCTAAGTTCTACCAGTCAAGAGCACATATAAAGCAGTTTTATAGAAGTATTCAGTTCTTACATTACCCTTTAATATGTATAATACCTTCACTACCTGCTTTGCAATTCACTGAACTTGCCATAGCAGAATATGAAGATCTGTTAATAATTATGTCAGATTTTATGTAGGAAGCATTCATTCATTAACACTACATCACATGTTATACTCCAAAGAAGAAAACAGGACTTGTTTGCACTAGATGGACAAATAGAACTGTCAAGTTAGTGAGTTTTGAATGTACAATGGTGGGAACCATTACAGAAAGGTACAGCTTCTCATCTTCTCTTGCCTTTTTGCATTTTTCTGTCGTGCTTTTCTTCAGAGCAAGAAAGTTCCAAAAATAAAAAATGTCCTGTTTCAATGTTTCAGAAGAAAGTTGATTATTCATTCTGATTTCTAAAGCTTGCGTTTTATAGCATAAGAAAATACTCTGAAAAAGGAAAATCAAAGCAAAACAATTAAGCAGAAACTATTTTTATTGACCCTCACCTACACCTTCTTCAAAGTTTGTCATGTAGGGAATGTTGGAAGTTTTCAGATTTGTTACTACGACAGAAATGAAAGTCAAAACCTGGAATTCATCTCAAATGTCCCTGTTCTGATTGGAATGCTTAGCCTCAATGTATGGGCATATGGACAATATGCTCCATGTGCTGGTATTGCTCTGGATTTATGAAGCGTTTGTGTTTCACTAGTATTTCCTCAAGAGAGGCAGTTGTTATGCATGGCTCAGTGTGTTTGTTTATTCTTATTTTGTACCTCTTCTTAGTGTTAAGACTCGACCTGTGCGAATGCCTCCTGGATACCAAGCAGATCTTGTTATTCAGCTGGTGTGGGTGGATGGTGAGCCTCCACAACAGATTACCAGTCTTGCTGCAAACTCTGCTTATGGACTGTAAGTAACTCAAAATTAAGGCTTCATTGATTTTCGGTTTATTGCACTAAGTCATGTATTTTTCAATTATACTTGGAAGTTTCCTGCAGACAATTAAAGTCAGAGTAAAATAATCAAAAGGTGCTATAACACAGATTCTTGGGGAAAAATTACTTGAAATTTCACAAAGATTGTAATATGAAATGTTAAACTGCCATTCTTGCCAATATTTTTACTATGCCTATTTAAAAGACTGACTCTTTTCACATTATTCTGTCCATCCTTTCAAATAAAATCTTATTACCTTCCAAATCTGTAATTTTTGAAGTTATTTTGAAAGGATCACCAAGATGAAATATATTTCATAGAAAATGTTGATGTGACTAAGTGTTAAATGTCATTGCTCATGACATCATATCTTAGTTGGAAATCATCTGAGAACAGCATTTGTATGTCTGTGTTAGTCTCTGTTTGCAAGAGGACCAACGACCTGAAATTGAAAATTGGATAAGGAACACTCAAACACTAAGTTCTATATGGAAATGCAAGTCAGTGTGTCTGTGTGTATTTTTTCCCTCAAGTTTAATTTATTTGCCAATTTTTAATATTTTCTCTCACTGAGAGTTCCCCAGATACATTGAAATGGTTTTCACACTAGAGGGTGTTACTCCAATAAAACCTGTAGGCTGTTATGGGTGTTAGGTGTCTGACTCCTACCCATTTTCAGTAAGTCACTTGATTTTCTTCACAGACTTTGGAAATTTTATGCAGAGCCTTTAAAATTGTGAAAAAACATTGTCATTTGGGGGCTCTTTGGTCAAGTCTTTAATGTGAATTTCCAGAGAGTTTCTTATTTTCAGGAATTCTAGAAGTTTGTTTTACCATACCTAGATGCATTTATCACTTGTGTAAATTGTTGGGTTTTGCCTAATTTGCTCATTTTGCACGTCTCAGGCCCCAAGGCAGGATCTGACTTCAGGAATAATCACACCGTTCTCTCACTTGTAAACTACTCTGACAGGCTGCAGTTGAGTAGCACTCATAGTGGTTTCCTAAACATACCAGATTCAATCAAGTGCTTTAAATTGTTTCCTTTGCTAGGAGAAGAAATATTTTACAGGGCAGCCTCCTTTAAAATACCATATACTAAGTACATGACTGTTTAAAAAATAAATGTATGTATCAATAAAATAGTCCAATAACCTAAATTTAACTTTCCTACAAAAGCCTACAAGAAAGACCTATTTCTTTAAATTTCTTCTGCAGAGTCTTCTCTCTTTCTTTCTTGTCTCTCTCAACTTTTTCCTAGGGCCCGTGGCAAGGTACAATCCTGTCTTTCATCAGAATTTTTGTTTAGTACTTTAGTTTTCTCCTGTTACCTAGCCTCACAATGTCTGATGAGGACTTTATGATATTTCTATGAAAGATACCCACAGAATAGAATTTCTGTCTCCTAGGTACCGTTTCTATTCCTGATTCAAAATGGATAAATTGATTATACTTTTTTTTTGTATTTGACTTCATAGACTTGGAAATTAGCAATTAATCTTAAATCTTGTTGGTAGTAATGTCTGTTTAGATTTTCTTATTCTTCAGAAGTGTTATATTATTTATGAGTAATTTCTGATTTTTCTTATTAATTTTTTTCTTTTTAGGTGTAACAAATGTTTTATCCATGCTTCTATGTGAACTTCAATAAGTGTTTAGAAAAACACAGACCAGGAAGCAATGACCAATTTTATTAATTTGCTGACTACAGAGTGACTGATCACTAGCTCTTCTTGTGGCTCATGTTTTCAAAAATTAATAAATCTCAGGTTAATAATTTTCAAAATGCACATGGCTATAATTTTTGTTCCCTAAAGTATTAACAGATGAGACTGACATTCCTCATCTTTATTCCTTTATTTTTCTTCTCCACCTAGAACACGGGGACTTATGAACGCAGGAACTGCTGTCACATATTACACTAGTAATCTTTTTCACTTCGATGTCTTTTCTCTGACAATGGCTATTTACACGTGCTTTAAATCAAAATACAAGAATGCCAAAAACAAATAGCAAAATAACTTTCCCTATTCTTTGTCAGCCAAATTGTGTCAAGAAACATGAAGCGATACAAAACTTTGCACAGAATGGTTTTCTGGCAAATGTGACAGAGTTCTTTTTTGTCCCTGGGAAACTTGCTAGGATTTTTTTTTTTCTTCTATTAAGCAAAACAGGCTTTAGTAATTTCTGAAACAGAAAATGCTACTTTCATGCACCTTCCACCTAAGCACAAAAATACTGCCAAATAAAAGAGTTTGTACACACTTTAAATCAGTGTATATCAGTAGCTACTTAAGCTGCAGATCAGAGAGGAGTCAATGGGGGAAAAAGAGTATGTTTGTAGTATTTCCATAGATGCTGTACTGAAGTCAATGCTGTGTCAAGGTACAAAACAAGGTGTGGTGACAAACAGTAGAATCTGAGCCAGTGTTGTAGATGGTGCTTTAATTTGCCATTTGACAAATAAGAAAAACGCAACCCATTTTCATCCTTTACCTTGTTTATTTGCTATATGAAACTCTGTTTTTTATAATGGAAGCAGTGGAAGAAAAGGTGCAACAAAAGAAAAAGTTTTACCTACCCTGCTTCCCCTTTCACCATCTCATTACTTCTCTCTTTCCTTATTGTTTTTCCAAACACAAATCCATATATCTCCTTTAAGCTATTTTGGACCTATATTCAGAAAAGTCTGGTGGAAATGAGTGTACAGCTCAGTTTTAGTGTGAACCAAGTGCTTAAATATTTTGCAGGGTTTAAACTGACCACCTTAATCAATTACATTATATGATGGGATTTGATCACAAATGGTTCCTAAACAGATTGAATGTGCTTTGGGATTTTGAGTTTCCCTTTGGCTGTACCTGCAGTCCTTTCTGTCTAGAAGCTGAAATTACAGTCTGATAGGAAAGGAGAGAATTCTGCAGGATGACTGCCAGTATATAATATACTAGTTTAAATCAAGTCTCCAACAATGCAGTGTCAAGAGTTTGGAATATGGATCTTTTCAATAGTAAGATGCTCTGTAAATTTATTTGCCATTATTTAAATCAAAACAAAATGAATCAATTTTGCATGTCTGTTTTAGTATTTAATCTTAAAGAGGTTTAATGCTTTAGTGTGAATATGTGAGAATATAAGGCAAAGACAGTATCTGCTGAGATATATGGGGGTTTATATGCTGTGGTTCATTTCAAAGTTTCTCATGGGACTTACATATAGGCATATGTAGCATCTTTTCCTTTTCTTCCTTTTGTTTAGAAAGATTCCTTATCTTCTTCCCAACCTCAATCTCATCCCCTTCCAAGCTGGAGACAAAGCAAGACCAGGGAATATTTTTATGGGTGAGGAGGAGAAAGAGCTGCTGTGCAATGGGCTGTGCACTTCTTCCCTCTTTCTGAAACTGGTATCAGAAGGAAATCAGTGGAATCAATAGAGAGGAATCAAGGCAGAATGCTTTGAAAGGGACTTTCGGGGGCGGAGATAAATTGTTCCCTCTCTTTTCCTTACAGCAAAACTGCAGCCCAGGTCTTATGTACCATCACAACATTTGAGAGATCTTGCCCATGAATCAGACCACCATCAAAATGCCATTTGTAGAAGCATTTCAGAGGGGCAGAGGCTATCTAGCAGGAATCTATACTGTAGCCAAGCTGACAGAGATGGGAGGAAATTTTATAAATACTTTTCAGATTTGGGTATCTCCACAATACAGCTTAATGTATTTCTTTTACATTTAGATTAAAATAATTTTTATACATATATTTGTGTTTATATTTTAATTTATATTTGTTTCTTCTATAGATGTATAAACACTTTTTAAGAGCTATGTCCAGATTTGTAGACTTAATTTATATAATTATCACTAGAATTATGTTGTTCTACAAGCAACGTTTAGACACTATTGCAATGCATCTGGCACAGAAAGTTAATTAAAGTGGGAATTCTGCTATCTGGAAAGTCACTTACTGTTCTTCAGGATACAATTTTATAAATTCAGGAAGAATTCTGTAAGAATTATAAAGTGTAAACTTTGAGTAGATTGCGAATAAAACGTTTGTGCAGCGTTCATAATAATAATTATTGTTTGCATGACTTAATTACCTATTAATAATTATTGTTTGCACCACTTAGGTAATTACCTATTACTCATACCTTTGAGAAACCTTTCTTTTCTCAGAGTGGCATTTGGAAACTGTAATGGTTTGGCCGTTGTGGACTTCATGCAGAAGACAGTTCTACTGAGCATGGGAACCCTTGACCTATATGGATCAAGCGATCCGTACCAGCGTCAGCCCCGTTCTCCCCGCAAAAGCAAGCAGTTTGCTGCAGGTAGGCAGTGAGTTGTTGTGGTTCTGAGCCTGAGATGTTCTTTGGTTTTTTTGCTTGTCGCTTTTTATAGTGCTTTTGAAGTGCATGACTATTTGCCAGCCAATGGAGTTTCTGTAATTTGACAAAAGAGACCCGACATGGTTTGGTTACTGACACTTTCTCAGAAACAAAATGTTTTATGAAGCTTATTCTTTTGGGTTGGAGGTCAGCAAGTAATTCCCTTAGCTGAGTCTGTGAAAAGTCATGATGAGCAGATCAGTAGATTTTTTTTTCTGTGGTAGTCATTTGAAGTCTGTGTGTGGTTTTCTTTCTGGTTTCAGTAAGTTCATACGGATAGGTAAGACTTCAATGTAAAGTTAATTATGTCTTCTGCCAAGTGCTGTTTAAATAGGCAATTGTGTTTGGAGAAGTGTAACACCCCAGAGACCTGTTAGCACAGGTAGCTCAAATTAGCCACTTTGTTAGTGAATTGGGTCTCTTGATAGAAACTTACTAAATCCAGCTGTAAATGTAATCCATTTTAAAATTCAATGCCAAGAGGATCACATTTTCAAGTCACAGATATTATATGCTGCATGTTAGAAATATTAGTCCATCAATGCAGCTAAATTTTACCATATATTTTTGGTTGTCTAAAAAATGTACTTGTATGGGAAAAAAGTCAGATCTTCTGTTTCAAGTCTTTTCACTCTACATACTCCATAGTAACATCAAGAGTCAGACACAATTACGAAATATGTTTTACATAGCCGTGAAGTTTTAGAATTAGATTTAAAAATCTGTTTGAAAATATTGAGTTTTAAAGGTAACCATAAAACTATAAAATGAGCCGATTATAGTGGGTTTTTTACGTCAGCATTTTCATCAGCAGACCTTGCACTAAATCATCAAATCCTATTTCTCCACAGAGTCAATGGAAAGTTTCTTTAATTAGGAATATATTTGTACTCCAAACATAAAGAAAAATTTAGACAATAAAATCCAAGTCATCAGGCCTACTTCTTTTCCTGAAAGACCATTTATCTCACTTTCTAGGCATTTAATCATGGCAAGCTTAGTTCTCTTCGGTGCCAACTGTTAAAGATGTAAATTTGGCAGAGCTGAGGAGAGAAGAGACAAGCAGCTTTAAGCTACCTTCAGCTTCACTGTCTGGGTCAGCCAGCCTCACAGCAACTCTCAAAGCTGTTTGAGCAGCCGTCCACAAGCGATGTGCTGCAGAGCCCTGTACAAAAGGTGGAGGGTAGCTGGTGTAGAAGTAGCTTTTATCAGCACTGCAGCACATAGGATTTCTTTGTGTCAGTGATAGTCTTGGCCAATTCTTTAAGGCAACGTGCCAGCTGTGCAGTGCTGCTAGCATGGAGCCCACTGGGTGTAAGGGACCACTCAGTGCCCACTTCTAGACTGCTCATTGAAACTACGCACCTGAGAAAAGCCTCAACTGCTTTCTCACCATCCATCCCACATCCTTTATTTTTTTTGATTATTTTTCTTATTGTATCTCCAATTGGAAGGTAAGCATCTGCTGAAATTTCTTCACCTTGGCTGTTCTAGATGCTGGTTATGATATCACTTCCTTTCACTTTAGACTGTTTTTTCTCTCTTTCCTCTGCCTGCTGCTGATGCTGGTGTACTGGCATGTTCCAAAGACAACTTTTGCATGCGTGGCCTGTCTAACTTTTATCCAGATTTAACGAAACGGATCCGTACTTCCTATCAGAGTAAGTTCTATAAAGGTTAGGCAAATAGCTTTATCACGACTGGGCTATGCCTGACTAAAACCCCTGTGTTTGTGCTTTGTAATGTGTTTTTTTAAACACATTCAGCATGCATGCAAACTTATTACATTTTGTGATGCTTAATTTTGACAATTATCTTTATTATAATGATATTTCAAATCTGTTCTCGTCTTCCAAAAGAGTCAATGAGAAAGCCTCAGTGACTTATACGGGGTGCATTGGGCCTTAGAAATATTTTTCAACAAGGTTGTTCTCGATGACAGTATCTTTCTTTGGTTTTGTATTCATTTCAGTGTACATCATTTATATGAAGCATTTCTTGTTCTGCAATGGCACTGCCTGTTTGCAGTTAATTCTTCCCTATTTTCAGAAGAGTAAAGTGGCTTAAAAGACCACCAATCTGATTGAGTGCTGTGAAATTTAAAATTTTAATCTTGGCTTGGTACTTGAATATTTGGCTTTGGGGAACCACCCCGTGCCTCAGATCTTTAATGGGGAATGTAAAGCGGGTATAAAAATACATACATCAAAGACAGCTATGAAAATTAGTGTTTTTAATGTCTTTAAATTTTGAATTATAGTGAGATGCAATTCAAATATTAGTATTCATCACTGCAGAATGCAATGAACAAAGCTATAATTAATTTTGCAAAATTGACTGTTCAACAGATGAGCAGTATGTTTCTTAATTAACTGCAGTGCTTACATGTAATTAGGTCTCCAGGATGCCTCTTATTCATCTCTTTTTAAATTGGTTTTCACAGAACAACTGGAGAAGCAATTTTATGTTAAATATTTTGCCTAGTATAGGCAAAATAAAAGGGTGGCAGTTGTTTTATCATGTCACAAATATAGAATTGTATAGCTGTTGAAACACATTTGTACATTTGTGCAAGAAACTCTGTTCTGTCTCTCTAGACTGATTACTCAACAACCGATTTCTGTGGGTTTAATACTTCATAAAGGGTAGGATGTTTAGTTAGAAGACTAGTCCAATTACAAAATTAGCAGTCCATAAAAAGGTTAGTTGTATAATGTCTTAAAGCTTGTTATTCTGGTCTTGCTAATTTGAGGTCCATACTAGAGATCCTGAGGGATAGACAGCAGTCAAAGGTTTGGGGGACGTCCCCTGTGAAAAAAAATTAGTAAATTCTAAGACCAAAAGTTACCAACATTTTCATTAAAAGTTACAAACACAGACCGTAGTGTTTTTCATATCTGAAAATGTATTCTCTTGTCATCTTCAACCCCAAAATTGGAGAAGTCCACAAAAATCTTTGTGTGCATCATATCTGAAGAATATGAGTTTGACTCTTGTGCAAGAACATCAACAGCTTCATTTCTTTCCTCAAAACTTTTGATACTTACACAGAGTTTGTACTGTACGATATGAAAGATGCACTAGGCAGTAAGATAAACAACAAGTCAAGAACATGTCATAGATTGTAAAATATCTCGCTCAGTCATTCTCAAGCTATGCTTTATTATCTGTCTTACCGGAGATACGAGTTTTAAGAGGGGTACTGAAAAAGGATTTAGTATTTTGCTTACAGGCTTATCTCTTCTCGTAAGGGATGATGATGGGAAAAGAAAAATAAATTATTTTTTTAAATTGTGCAGTTGGAGCTGGTGCATTAAGGCAAAAGCAGGAGCAGTTGTGTGATAACATGGGCATTAGATCTAGAGTTTTGAGGGTTATATAAATGAAAAAGGAATCTAAGGGAAAGATGTATCAAGACTTGATTCAATTAAATAATAAAGTAGGAAGATAATTCATAGGGATCAGTTTCAGAGAATAAGCAGGCATTGAAGCTGGAGAAGAGGTTATCAGTGAGCAAGATACTTAGACTTTTATTGGTTATTTTGGAGGTGATTTGCAGGAAGAAACAGTCAAGTTGAGTGTCCAACCTGAATCTAAGAGTTAAAGCGTGATGTTCCAAGGATGAGACCAATGTTATGGGTTACAGTATCATGGAAGACAGTGGTGGTCTTAGCAGTGTTGAAGCAGCAAGCAGAAGACTTCATCACAAAAAAATAGAGTTCATCTTGGCATTGTTAATTTCCTTTTTGGACATTTGTGAATACATTTTAGAAAGACAGGTTTACCATTTGAACTCGTATGGGAGGAATCCAAGTCAGAGAAGTGTATTTATGAATTATTACGGTGGGAAAAAAATAGTATTTCTTGGCCAGTTTATAGGAGAGAATCTCCTAAAATACTGGGACAGAGAGATAAAATGTTGATATTTCAGTCTGGATGCCTCGCAACTGAAGAGGGAAATTTTTTTTGGAAAAAACCAAAACCATCTAACAGGGAAAAGAAGCAGCATGCTGGAGAAGAGAGGTTTTCCAAAGGAAAGACATAATAATGTCAAGGGTATCCAATATGCAAAGTACAGTGGTGGGATAATTGCTTGGAGTTTTAGCCAATAAATCTATAGAGAGCTTGATAAGAGTAATGTATACATGTGTAGCTATGCTCAAAAGCTTCTAGATTGGACTTGAAGCATTAAGACAGCACATTCTCCAGTTTGGGAGGTGGAAATGGGAAGGGAAAAGTAAGAGGGGAAGAAAAAAGGAGAACAGTAATCATTTATAGACATACATAATGGGAGAGACTAACACAATTGTCCTATCAGGGGGGATAATTTGAGGAAAATAAGAGCCAAAGGTGAGAGTAAGTGCAGAGCTGGAGGTGGCTTTCTGATGTTGATGACTGGTTCCATTTGCTGTAACATCTGCTGGCAGCCACCTTCCTTTGTAGCAAGAATATGTGCAAGCTAAGTAAATAAATTCTCTTTGCAGTAGTACAGAGCTGTGTTGTTGGTTAGTTGGTTTTCTTTCTTTTTTCTTCAATTGAAACTGAGTTCTACATGTTGTTGCCTAGCGTTAGATAACATATATTCAAATATTAAAACAAGTACATTTACTGCATCTCGAGAGGTATTGTTTGCAGCAGAAATAAAAATACCAACTTGCAAAAACGATTTGCATCTCCTGCGAGAAATTCATGCCATCTGTTGATAAATCAAGGAAATAAATACTCTTTATGAAGCATCCAAAGTATCAGCAGGTTCAAAGGTTGTTGATCCCTTGGGAAGTAATTTTCAGGATGAAGACTTTTCTGTGAGATTTTTTTATCTTCTCAGGCCACTGAGAGGATGTGGGCAAAAGCAACCTTGGTCTGACAGGAGGACACAGGGAACTCTGTGTTATGAGTCATTACATATCAGTAACTGACACGTTAAATTGCACCTGACAACACAGAAGAGGCTAACATAGGTTGGATTTTAAGTCAACAACTATATTCTGAAATAAATGTAATTTTCAAAGAACGCATCATATTTAAACATGAAGAAAATATAGTATGGTAGTTCATTGTGAAGGTGATAGATTAAGGTAACTTTGAGCTTACTTATTGGTTTGTGAAATTTTATAGTAATTATGATAAGCAATGCTGTGATGGCTTTGGGTGCTTTTAAGTAAGTGATCAGTCTGGATCATTTAATCATAGAGATAGAAATTTAAAATTTAAATAGTTGTTTTAAATTAAATTGAGTTCATAGAAGTTGTTAATTCATACTAGACAGTATTTTTCTTTAATAAAGAGGAAATGGGAATCACAGTAAACTTGGAAAAGTACCCACAGGAACTGTCTTTGACAGGGCTTTATTGCCTTAAGTGATATATTTTGTACTATTTTCACATGTTTATCATTTGTTCGGATGAAAGCTGATTTCTTTATAATGTCGATAGGTACATCTTCTCCCAGCTGATTGTTGACATTGCCAGTCTCAGTTATTTACCTTTAATTTTGCTGCTATATTCTTCTTGTTCTAGCTGGACTCAAAATTTGCTGGCATGGATTTTTTTTTTTTTTATGCTAAAAATAGCTAAAATATCTTGGGAGACAGATTGGACCTACAGAACTTCAAAATAAAAAGTGAAAATATTTTTGTAATCTAACTTCAGTGTCTGTTGTCTCTCTAACATTTAAGAGAAGCTAAGTTGCATAGAAATACTTATACTTTATAAACTTTTAAAAGATTTAGCTTGGTTTCCTTAAAAAAAAGAACTGAAAAGTAGAAAATAAGCAGTAGTACAAAGAGAAGTACAAACAAACCAACATTTAATGCAATCAAACATACCACACGAAATTTGACAAATGTATCTTTATTCCTTTCAGTGAATGAATGATGATTGTGCAATTCATTGCCGAATAAATCTTTGGGATTTAGAATTTAGTGAGATTAAGAGACTTTGGTTACATGGAGGGATAATGAGAAGAAGAAATCATTATCGTATTTCTAAGCAAGGAAGATTTATGGCTGGAGAAAAATCTGCAAGTGGCAATGCTTAAACTAATCTAAGTGAGATTAAGACAATGGCCTTGTGCATAATACCACTTGTGCTTAATGTGGTGGCTTATTGCACTTTTTTTTTTAAATAGCATCTGTTGGTGGTCATTGTTAGAGATGACAATGGCTTGGCAACAAGTCTGGATTTGCACAGAAGTTCACATGTTCACCATTTTTAAATACCATAACATGAAATGTATCTGTGCTGTTGTAGGTTGTAAAAACTGCTGCCAGACATAAAGAGGTTGTGGTATTCTCACAGTGGTTGCTCTTGGCTTTGCAAAACAGTGGTGTAGTTTGGTGCATTTCCTAGTTAAGTCAATGGAGCCATACTTTATCTTAAGCTGTAATATTGTTTCTATCAACTCACAGGAAAAAAAAAAAAAAAAAAAGAGAGAGAAAATGCTATACTCAGAAGCAAAATCTGACCTGGAATTCAAAATTTTAACTATCACCAATAGTAACTATACAAGGTTCCGAAAAATTTAATTAATCACATCTTTGTGTTAAAATTTTAATGAATCCAACACTACTTTGCAAAAGAAACAGTTTAGTAATTCATTTTATTTATCTAAGGCCTCTGATGCTCTGCGAATGTTGCAGAGTTGCTTCTGCTGGACCTTACAGCCAGTTCTGCAGCACAAATCAGTTATGTCCCAAAACTCTAGGTACATACAGAAACCCCAGAGTCAGGTGGAAGTAAGGTTTGCTATAAGAAAGCTCTACAGAGAGTGGCTCCCTAAATGGTTGCAGTTCCTGAATTCTGTCATGACATCAAAAGTGACTGGACTCACAACTGCTTGGAATATAAAATTATCTCACAGATACTAAATTGAATCAAAGAAAGATTCAAGTACGTTTCTCAAAACAAAATACCTTTGGTTTTCAATATAAGAATCTAGACTATGACCTTTTGTTGTTTAAAACTCAGGGCAAACATGTCATTGCTACGGACTTAGAAGGCAAATCAATACTGCTGTTTTTCCAAAGTGCTCCCAAAGTTGTTCTAGCATTCATGTAGCTTCTTTAGTGGTAGGAGCTTTTTATTCTGCTTGTTGAGGCTCTGGATTCTCCCCATTTCTCAGGGCAGTTCACAGTTACATTGTAATAAAAATATCAGCACCTACATGAAGATCCCACTCTTTTTAACACAAAGGTTACATGTCATGTTGCAGGAGGCATGGTGCCTGATAAAAGCGTATTGAAAGGTTGTGATAGGATGTTTGACTTCCAGGACACAACATATGCAGAGTGTGTGCAAACACAGAATCAGTATGACAGCACAGCACACGTGGATGTGGGCTGATGTTCACTAGGTTGTGACCTGGTGCTGTGAGCCCACGTTGCTAGCAGATGGATGTCTGGTGCTGGGTTATCTCTCGGTCCCACGTAGCCTGTCTCATGAAGTGTCAGAGCTCCCTATAACAAGTGTGAACCACTTGATTTAGGGCACCATGCAGTGCATAGAGAGGATGCATTTCAGTGGGTGTGGCTGTGCCCAGTTCACCCCCTCGCTAGCCCAGAGTAAAGGACAGCACGAGCTCAGATGTTCCCTAGCACACCAACGGGCAGGTTTAACTTGTACATCCAACCTGTGCCAAAGGTGGATCCTAGTCTGATCGCAGAAGCACAAGCTTAAGCAGTATAAACTAAGATTGCTGTCTTCTAGGGAAGGCAGCTACAAATTAGTTCCTCACAAGTATTTATACAAAATATATAAAGTATCTTTTCCAAAAATTATGTTATATTCAGGCAGCATTATCATTGCCTCCATGTCCTTTAAAATGAGATGTCTTATGTGAAATAGAAAAGCTCCTAATATTGCATAATAGTGGTGATATTTTTGTATTCACTATCTTATTTCACCAGTACTATTTTTTTTATTTCCCCTTTTTTCCTCATTTTAAGGTTTCCTCCCTGCATTCTGCAGCAGCTGAAAGCATAGTTATTCCCACACCATCTTGACAGGGACAAATGAGTTTGATGCATATTGCAGATACTTGAATTTTGAACTATATTCACTTATACTCTCTCGTTAGGTACAGCTACTCTTTGTCTACCCTAAGGCACACAGAAAACAAAGCTGAGTTAACAAGAGGCGTGATTTTATTTAGAAATTGGTTTTTTAAACCAGACCTAAATTTCTGCAGTGTCAGTTTGATAACTGCAGTTACTTGAAATAGGTATTTCCCTCACATTTCACACCACTCCTTTCTCCAAATTGACTTTAAAGTGAAGAATATCAACAACCAAGAAAGTAAAAGCATGCCCTGTTAGATTGTAATTTAACTTTTTAACTCCGTTTTTTCAGGCCTGACTGAACTCAGTGACAGTCCAGTTTCCCTGGAGCTAGAGCGTTGCAAGTCTCCCACTTCAGGTAAAGGTGACTGGCTTCTCTTCCTGCAGTCTGTATAAGCCATCCATGTCATGCATCACTGTGTTTCATTAATCCCTAAGAAGGGAAGTGCATAGTTACAGTTCCAGAGAGAAGAAATTACTGGAGAAGTAGAAGAAGTAAATCAAGCAGCAAAATAAAATCCTAAGTCTGTTTACTTAAAGAAAAATTAAATGTATGTGGCACATCTTGAGGTGAAGACTATGAAAAAATTTGCATTACCATCATACAGGTATATTCCTATATCCTCCTATTAGAGGCTTGTTTCACTGTTTCCTTAAAAGGCTTGCTGAGTTGTTTTTTGGTTTTATTTTTTAGTAGGGAGTCCTTATAATTTTGTATATATAATGCATATGTACATGTGCATGTAGAGAAATTATTTTCAAAGCAGCAATATGGAGATGGTAAATTTTAACCACTGCAATACACGAGTGCCTAAATTATGTAATTTATAATGGAGGCATAACCTCAAATAAAAATATTATTTTATGAACCACTTCAACCCAGCGGTGAAATCTTGGTCACTTAGAAGTTTATAAATGGTTTGCATTTTACCCATAGTCCTTCAGCAAGTGGAATTCATCCATTCCTAGAGACTTTTTCTGCAAGTGCCTAGTCTGCACTAATCTCTTTAATGTGAGTTCACTGGCTCAAAACCATTGCTCTGAGCTGACTTTTAAATGTGATGGAAAATAAGGAGGGTTATCTATGATACATTCATTTTGCTTTTAGTATACACAGCACACTTCTTTTCCTTGTAGTTTGGTAAGTATTGAGAGATACTTCCCCCCACACACACTTATGTTAACAAATTCTAACAAACACACTACTAAAATTCTCTGTTATTATTTCATGTACTTTACTTTAGTAGAACAGGACACATTAATCCTGAATGGAGGCCACTAATCAGTAATTTACAAAAACTGAAACTAATATAAGTATTTCCCTGACACATGAAGAACTAAAGCAAATGCTGTTTTGAAATATGTATTTCCTTGTACTATTTGCAACTCCAATTCTGTAGACATGGGAATATCAAAATAGATTAGGCTATAATAATAATAGTAGGAGCTCAAACTCTTGAGCTGGGCCTCAGGAACCTATGATATGGGCTTTAAAATAAAGCATTTGATAACTCAGTATAATTAGACTATTAATTTTGTGGCTCACTGGGATTCATCTTTTCAATCTTTTCTCCAGAAATGAGCTACAAACTCTCTTTATCTTTCCACTGAAAGCTAAGACATCACTGACCTGGCAAACATATGCTTAGTTTTAAACCCATGAATGACTCCTATAGCACCTTACTTTTTCTGCAGTCAACTTAGAACTTCAATTTTTCATTGTGCTATTGATGACAAAATATCTATTTTAGAGAAATTCAATATAGTTTGCTCCAAAATGTATTCTGCTTTTCTGTTTTGGAGATCATTCAGCAGGGAAAACATGGCATATTTATAAATGTTTTAGCCTTTCCATGTTGTTTTCCAAGCTATATTTGAATCTTTAAAATGTGAAAGCAATTGCAGTTTTGTAGGCAGTAACTATTGTTAGAATCAACTGCTTTTTAAAACGGAAGTTACTTTTACTGTGACTGATTTTGGTTTTTTACTTAAAGCAAAATTAAAATAATTTTGCTTTGGCATAAAACTGCAAATTTAGTCAAATCACCTGGAGTAACTGAGCTCAAAATTGTGACCTCCAAGAATTACCTTGTGCTTATGAGCATAGCCTCACAGCTGCATCAGCCTTTGCACTGGCTAACAAGTACTTTTTCGTAGAATGCAAGCAATTGATCCTGCATAGTTACAGATTGCTCAAGCAGGATCCTTCTGCTCCCAGTCTTGCCTTTGATCTATTTAAAGTTCATGGAACCTAAGCTGCATATTGGATGTGTGCTGTGCTCTGTAGAGACCCTTGACACCTGTGTAAAAGCAATGACTGCACTCCTCTACTGAAGAGAGGCCAGGACTTCATCCTTCAGAAATTTAGGAGAAACAGAAAGAACACTTGGCTGCTGAGTCAAGTGATCCAAGCTGCTGCCCAGCAAAGGCATACCTTTGATACCTACTCGGTATCACTGCATCAGCAACTGATGTGATTGCAAAGAGAGAAGGGGCAGATTTTGATTTGTTAAAATTTTGCCAGACCGTATCAACATCAGGTCTTCATTCGGTAGTGAAGTTCCTGCCAGATACTGGCCCTGACTACGCACATTGCATATGCAAAATGCAAACTGATGGAGGACAATAGTCTACATGGCAAACACTACACACATGGTGGCACGCTGGTGGACAACTTCATCTTCAGTTTCAACGGAAAAGGAATGATTTGAGGAACATGGACACACTTGTGCATACTTTGAGACTCCAAGACAATGCCTAGGGAGAATCCCTCCAGCACACTAATTGCCAGTGTAGTCACAAAGAGTTTTGTATCTCATAGAGCTGTTAGTAACTTAGATTTCAGTTCCAATCAGACCCATAGGAACAGCATTGATAAAGGCTTCTTGGAGAAGTTGAAAAATATCTCCTGCGTTCTCATCCTCTTGGTCTGATCTTGAACATTGCTTAACCCGCCTGAACCACCCTGGTTTCCCTGAAAAGTGTAATTTGCCTGCAACATCCTACACTTCGTCAGTGTTTTAACCTCTGACTAACCTTCTGCAGTGCCAGTCTAGGTCAACTCAGTAATTCAGCTTTGTTGCTTCTCTTCTCTACTGCCCCAAATCAGAATTAGGCATTTATGTTCTATCACTGATATGAGTGTTGGAGCACTGAGCAAGAGACAGTGCTAAGAACAGTCCTCATTTTACATGCAGGTCTGGTTTTTAATTCAGTACAAATCCAACTTCTTCCATTAAGCAAGATTTTAAACTTGTTTCACACGACTGTCTTTTCAGGTGCTTCTCCTTTACTATTTACTAAAGTATGACTTTGCAAACAAGACAAAATCAGATCCTCTTTTTGAACACCTTTCAGACTAGAACTTGAAATTAAGCCATTTGATGAAAATTTTTCTGAACTTCACACTGCTACACAGGGGGTAGCAGTTAGTGAAGAAATACCAACCTTGCATTTTAAGAATGGTAAACAGAGAAGAGGAATAATCTTCCTTAACCACTGGTATCTTATTTTAATTAAATTAGTATTTGAACACTATAGTGATGTGTTTCCAATACTGTTTAGGAAGACAAAAAGTCAATAAAGCCATTGGAAAGATCTTGCTTATTTGTGAATATCTGAGTGTATTCCAGGGTAAAGAAAATGTATTCCAGATAGAGCAATATATAAGGAATAACACTGGCAAAAATTGTGGCACAAAATATTGAAAAATAAAAACCCGAACAACTTAACTATATAAAGCATGTTTTATGAGAACAGTGATGCAGCATGGCATGCCATATAATGGTATTTGGCTTTCAAAACCCCTCAGATCATACAAAGAGCAGCAGAATATCTCATTCTTACTAATGCGTGCCATGTTCTTTCAATGGAGAAAGTCAAACTGCATTTTGATTGTTATTTGTGATTTGGAGCTTAAAAGTTAGAGCTTTGTATATTCATCCTGCAATATCATGTGAGAACTCAGTAGCTCTAAAACAAAATAAAAAACTCTGAGAGCATGTAAGCACTCAGTGTAAATGGTGCTACATCCAGTGCTGGAGTTAATTATTATATAATGTATTATGTAACAGTACCCATTCTGGTAAAATTTACCTTTATTTGTCTCATTAGAAAAAATTATTCAGGGTCTCTCAGGCATATAATATATATAATATACATAATTATATAACATATATGTCCCTTACTGCTTTAGCCATTTATACACAGCTTCATATTGAAGTATGTAGTTATGAATACACTGTGAGCAGAAGGAAATACATCTTTGAGAGGTTGTTTAAGTTTGTTGTCCAAGATGCAATGGACAGTTTAGACTTCTTTCAAATAGCAGAAGGATTTCATTTCATCATTCTGTGTACAGCAGAGTGACTTTTCAAATGTGTGTTCTAAAATGAAAGTGCATGTGCATTTTTTTTCAAGAAATCACCTTCATCTTGGGGACATGCATGCAAAATGCTTTTAAAACTACAGAGCTAAGAAAAAGCTATGTATAGATTTCCACAACTGATTCCCATGAGCTTTGGAACCAGTCCCTAATGGCAAGAGCGCGAGTTCTTCTATGTACTGTGATTTCCAAGTGCTGCTATCCTGATTCATTCCACTAGTTAAATCTGCTAGGATTAGGCCCATGCCACACCAAGCTCACACTTTCCTACATTAGATGTTTTAAAATAGCTTTGTTTCAAGAGGAATATTATGAAGTTTCTGACAGCTGCTCTTTTTTAACTTGTGGGTAGATGCAAAGTAGCTGAAAAGATTTGACTCGTTTTGAAAATTATATTCTCATGGAAAACAAGCAAGTAAATGTTTGAAGACACATTGTGTGTGGAAAACAGTATGTAATTTATTTTGAAACTTGATTATTGATGACACTGCCAGCATTACCATTTCTACTTATTTATGTTAAATTAAAAAGAATGTTTGCTAGTCAGAAGACAAATTAATCTTTAAAGAGAGGTTAGCTCCTGCACTGTGAGTACAAGGTGCATTTTATCACTTCTTCCAATATTTGAGGGGAGTTCTGATTATGTGAATTCATGCTTACTTAAGATCTTGAGGAGGCATCTATATGTAGAGACGAGCAAGGAACAGGGAGCAGTATGAGCTGACAGAGGGGAGGAAATGTGGACCTGGAATTGGGCCATGGTATTTGGCTCAGGGGGAGCAGCCAGGTAGCCCCCATGCAGCCCGTGGTGCGTGGCTCAGGGTTCAAGGGGGCCTGAGCTCATCAGCAGGGGCCAGAAGCTCCTGGGGACCAGGGAGGCAGAAGCTAAGCAGGGCTAAGCACGGCCTGATGATCTCCAGGAATAAGTGAGGATGTCATTTTGTGAGTCCAGGTCCAGGTCAGCAGGCCAGGCA